GGAGAAAGGTGAGTCTTTAATAAATGGTGCTGGGAAAACTGGACAGCCACATGCAAAAGAATGAAAATAGACCATTCCCTTACACCATACACAAAAATCAACTCAAAACGGATTAAAGACTTGAATATAAGACCCGACCGAAACCATGAAACTTCTAGAAGAAAACAGGCAGTATGCTCTTTGACATGGGTCTTAGCAGCATATTTTCAAATACCATGTCTGACCGGGCAAGGGAAACAAAACAAAAAATGAACAAACGGGACTACATCAAGCTAAAAAGCTTCTGCACAGCAAAGGAAACCATCAACAAAACGAAAAGACAACCTAACAATTGAGAGAGGATATTTGGAAACCATATATCAGATAAGGGGTTAATATCCAAAATATACAAAGAACTCATACAGCTCAACAACAAAAAAACCAACAATCCAATTAAAAGATGGGCAAAAGATCTGAACAGACATTTCTCCAAAGAAGATATATGGATGGCCAACAGGCATATGAAAAGATGCTCAACGTCATTAGCTATCGGGGAAATGCAAATCAAAACTACAAGGAGGTATCACCTCCCTCCAGTCAGAATGGCTATTCTTAACAAGACAGGAAACAACAAATTTTGGAGAGGTTCTGGAGAGAAGGGAACCCTTGTACACTGCTGGTGGGAGTGCAAATTGGTGCAGCCACTATGGAAAGCAGTATGAAGTATCCTCAGAAAATTAAGAATAGGTCTACCATATGATCCAGCTATCCCACAGCTGGGTATTTATCCAAAGAACTTGAAAACGCAAAGGCATAAAGATACCTGCACCCCTATGTTCACTGCAGCATTACACACAACAACCAAGACTTGGAAGCAACCTAGGTGCCCATAAAGGGATGAACGGAGAAACAAGATGGGGTATTTATACACCATGGAATACTACTCAGCCATAAGAGATGATGAAATCTGGCCATTTGTGACAACATGGATAGTCCTTGAGGCTATTATGCTGAGTGAAATTAGTCAGAGGGAGAAAGTCAAATACCATATGATCTCAATCATAAGTAGAAGATAAAAACAACAACAAACAAATACATAGCAAGGGAGATTGGATTGGTGGTTATCATAGTGGAGGAGGGGAGAGCAAAAGGGGTGATTAGGCTCACATGTGAGGGGTTGGACTATAATTAGTGTTTGGGTGGTGAACATGCTATAATCTACACAGAATTCAAAATATATTACGATGTACATCTGAAAGCTACATAATGTTATAATCCAACATTACTGCAATTAAAAAAAATAAAACTTTAAAAAATTAAAACAAATTTTGCAAATAGCAAGAAAAAAATAATTATTACACAAGGCTCAAATATCCACAATGGAGGGAAATGTCATCAAGAGAAAAAGGTATAAAAACCTTTTGTTGAGTTGTGAATTACAAATCAGACGTGCAAAAATAAAATTTAAAAAAAGAAAAGAACTCCCTAATTTTAAGGGAGAAGACTAAGCAAGAGGTAGTATGAATGCAATAAAATACAGTTCACATATTTTAATGATGTTAATAAGTAGAAAATATGTATCAATTGATAAATAGCCAATTTTATATATTATACACATATATATAAACAAAGATTGGAAAAGAAGCTACAATAATTTAAACATTTAAACTGCTCACTGGAATGTTTTGCTACAAAATTGTTTAATTATACTATAAAGAAATAAAACTTTAGGGAAAAAATGGGAAATTGTACATTACAAACTGCACAGTACTCACAGGAAAGTAATTAAAAGATGAGGCGCTTATCCTTCTGGGATTCTAAATGAGTTCATTTCTCTTAATTTTAAATATGCAGAAAATTAAGTGAGATCCAAAAACTGCATCAACTAAGTCCACCAATTCTGACATTCCTTTCAGAATAGAAAATTGCAATTGTTGTTCTCTGTGTAAATTAAAATTTATATATTTACATTTGCTCCACATGAGAGATTCCCAAATCTGGCTATGTATCCGATTACCTGGGGAACTTTTAAAATAAGTTCCTGGCCCCATCTCCTGGAGATTCCAATTTGGAAAGCCTGGAGTGGATGCCAAGAATCAGTATATATAATATAAAGCTCATGTTGGTGTATTAAGGGTACTCCTCCTCTGATTCAGCTAGCTTTTGGAACTGGTCCCTTATTTCAGGGATTTTCAAACTCTACTGTGCATACAAACCACCTGCAGATGTTACAAAGAAGCAGATTCTGATTCAGCAGGTCTAGGATGAGGCCTAGGAACCTGCAGTTCCAACAAGCTCCCAGCTGATGTCCATACTACTGGTCCAGAGACTATACTTTGAATAGCAAGACCTTATAGGATCTTTCGATCTTTCCACAGGTGAATGATAGATGGCATTCCCCTATGCAGTTCCTACCACTAGAATATTTTCTTCAAGTTTTACCTCAAATCCTTTAGCATAGCTAGAATATACAATTTGCAAAATACTTGACATATCTTTACTATGTACCCTAGTACCAAGTGAATGGAAATAATTTCCTCCATTTACAGAGTATCCCTAAAGGATGAGCGTTACTGATGTCACAATTCAGAGATGAAATCAAAATTTACATAGTTTTCAATATATATACAAGGAAGTTGATCACAATCATGGTTATAATAGTGAAATATTGGACAAAAATGTAGATGTCCAACAACATAGGACTGATTAAATAACTTATAAGGGCATCTATTAAAAATAATGATGTGTTGGGCCAGCCCTAGTAGCCTAGTGGTTAAGTTTGGCACACTGTGCTCCGGCAGCCGGGTTCAGTTTCTGGGTATGGACCTATACCACTCATCTGTCAGTGGCCATGCTGTGGTGATGGCTCACATACAAAATAGAGGAAGACTGGCAACAGATGTTAGCTCAGAGCTAATCTTCCTCAGCAAAAAAAAGAGCAAATATAATAATAATTTTTAAAAAATGACGTAAATGCACAATTACTGGTAATGAAAAGATGTTCATGATAAGTAAAGAAAAGAAAAAAGGTTTCGTAAAATCTTTTTTTAAAGATTTTATTTTTCCTTTTTCTCCCCAAAGCCCCCTGGTACATAGGTGTGTACTTTTAGTTGTGGGTCCTTCTAGTTGTGGCATGTGGGATGCCACGTCAGCATGGCTTGATGAACGGTGCCATGTCCGCGCCCAGGATTTGAACTGGCAAAACCCTGGGCCTCTGAAGCAGAGCGCACGAACTTAACCACTGGGCCACGGGGCCAGCCCCCTATAAAATCTTCTAATACAATTCCATTTTGTGAGGGTAAAAAACACACAGTGATATATACATTTACACAAAAGAAAGAGTCCAGAGAGATATATACTAAAATATTTAAAGCATCTTCAAAGTACTGGAATTTCAGGTGATTTTGATGTTTGTTTGCTCACATTATCTAATATTTCTATGACATAGATCTTATAAAATTCTTAAAGGGTAAAAATAGGGTGAGAAGAAAACCAAGCAAACCCCACATGCACACACCTTTCAAGAACTACTAGATTGGCTTAACTTCTAGGTAACTTGCACTCCAAAGAGCCATAAGGGACTTCATGCAAAGCACTTTGAAAGCTTGTTAAAATTGCAATCTTGCATCCCACCCCAGACTTACTGAATCTGAATCCCTAACAATAGGCTCTGGAATCCTGCTTATAAAGCAAACACTGACTCTTACAAATAGAAAAGTTTCAAAAGTTTGGTGTTAAACAAAAAGCTTCCTAGAAATGCAGGGACCTGGACTAAATTTCAACCTATCTGAATGGCAACCTACAGCAAATTCAGAACGGGTGAAATCACAGTACATACATACACACCCACATGCACCAAGACCATTGGAATTTGAACAACCACAAAAACCTATACTTAGGGGCCGGCCCGGTGGCACAGCAGTTAAGTTCGCACGTTCTGCTTCTCATTGGCCCAGGGTTCACTGGTTCGGATCCCGGGTGCGGACCAGGGCACCAATTGGCAAAATCCATGCTGTGGTGGGTGTCCCACATATAAAGTAGAGGAAGGTGGGCATGGATGTTAGCTCAGGGCCAGTCTTCCTCAACAAAAAGAGGAGGATTGGCAGTAGTTAGCTCAGGGCTAATCTTCCTCACACACAAAAAAAACAAAAAACCTATACTTAGTGATTTATTTATTCAATCTTAATTTTAAGCATCTCACGTGAACACTGACTATTTCTCAGGAGCTAATTGACGTCACAAAGATTTTCCTTATAGTTGATCTACATCTATCTGAAACTATTCGTTTTTTTTTATCTGAAACTATTCTTATTATAACCCCTTCTATGATGTTTTATCCTCCTTTAGTCCTTTTTTAGTTAAAAGTACCACATAAACATTTATTATGGAACCAAATATTTAGGTAATTCAACTATTCTTCTATTGTTTTCATTTGTCCTTTCTAAACACATTCCAACTGACTAACCCCAGTAGATTCTGGTGATTATTTCTTCCAGAGATCCTCTTTGAGCTAAATTCAAAGGCATGGTGGAGTATATATTAAAAGAAGTCCTCAAAGAATCAAGAAAAACATTTCCTATTCTGAAAAATACCACATGAACCCCCCCAAAATTTACTGAAAGAAAAAGAGAAAAGAGAGATATCACACTGAATATATCCCTAACATATCACACTCTTAAGTATTTAGTATAACAATCAACTCATAAGGCATACATTTACTAAAAGTTTTCAAAATGAGATGTTAAGAGTTTCGGGAATTTTCTAAGGTTAATAAATTAAGAGCATTTTCCTAAAGAAAGCCATGATATTTTTCTCCTTTAAAACAGAGGGGAAAACATTAGGAGAAAAAAAGGTCGGCATGAGCTCCTAAGAGGATCTAGGAAAGGAGCACAATTTCAGGGAGGTGGGGGACAAACTCTTCATTTTATTTTAATCCATGATACATTTTAATCCTGGATCACTCAGAAGGCCAGGCCAGTTAAAACTGCAATTTATTAAAACCAAGAAGATTTTATACCCACCTGCAGTTCACACCAAGCAACCTCAACCCATGTTTCAGTGTCCAGTCCTTTATACACTGTTTTAAATGCTCCTCTTCCCAGCTCTATGTCAAATTTCAGGAACCTGCCACTAGGAGAAGTAGCTACAGCCTTCATTTCTGCTTCTTCTTCCATTTCCTTTTCATTTTTCTCCTTGAAACAATCTTTTGAGGATTCCGAAGTTGCCTTTGAACATTGTTCATATTTAACTTCTTGTCCTCCTCTTAGCACATTTGTAGGAAGCTTTTCTACTCTTGGAATATCTGTTGCAGTCTTTATTCTCTCATCTTTGGAGGAAGATTCAGCAACTTTGTCATCTTCTGTCATCTCAACACTCTTTCGGAAGAATCTCTTCCTTTCTATGGTTTCCCCAGAAGCAGACAAGGTACTGTTTTTTTCCTTTAGTCTTGCTTCTACTGTCAAAGTCGCTGGAGCCTGAGGAACTCTGTTTTCCAATGAAACTCCATCAGGTTTCTCAGAATCTTCTGTGCTAGCTGGCTCTCCTGAATCAGTAGCCATTGTAATTAAGGTTGGCACTAAAATTTTTCCTTTTCCACTCTTCAGTCCAGTTACATCTCAGGTATCAGAATTATCAGAATGGACTTCCTTTTACGCGGTCATATGTTTCCATAGCAACCTGAAGGGGAAAAAAGGATATTTTAAAATCAGCCCACAAAGGAAATCATTAAGGAGAAAATAAGTCACCTGATGGTTTAATCCCTTTTTTTTAAAATAAGATGTTTGCTCTTTTTCCTCTCCAATCTTAGCAACCATCAGACTCCAGGGACCATGTCTTATCTTGTTTATCACTGTAGTCCTCAGTGGCAGACTGCTTGGCATATAGCTCAGCAAGTCTTGATATTGTATGAATATTGGTTAGGAACCTGGTTTTCAGCCCCATCTATCAATCCATCATATTTAAAACAAGAATCCAAACCCTGAGTTCACTTAACTACAAGGTTAACACACACAATAAGTAAAACAAGCAGACAATTTCTCAGTAGGTGGTCTTTGTCTAAAATTCTGGAATCAATCCAACAGTAGTTTCTTTGTGGTGAAATATACTTAATATCAAATTTATGATCTTAACCATTTGAAGTGTACAATTCAGTGGCATTAAGTACATTCACAATATTGTGCAATCATCACTACTATCTTTTTCATCATCCCAAACTGAAATTATGTATCCATTAAACACTAACTCCCCATCTCCCCAGCCCCTGGTAATCTCTATTCTATTTTCTGTCCCTATGAATTTGCTTATTCTAGGTACTTCACATAAGTGGAATCATACAACATTTATCCTTTTGCATCTGGCTTATTTCACTTGGCATAATGTTTTCAAAGTTCATAGATGTTGTAGCATGTAGCAGAATTTATTTCTTTTTAAGTCTGAACAATATTCCATTGTATGTATATACCACATTTTGTTTTAAAGATTTTATTTTTCCTTTTTCTCCCCAAAGCCCCCCAGCACACAGTTGTATATTTTTAGCTGTGGGTCCTTCTACTTGCGGTATGTGGGATGCCACCTCAGCGTGACCTGATGAGCAGTGTCATGTCTGCGCCCAGGATCCGAACTGGCGAAACTCTGGGCTGCCGAAGTGGACCGCACGAACCCAACCACTCGGCCACAGGCCCGACTCCCACATTTTGTTTATACATTCATCTGGTCAATGGACTGGGTTGTTTCCACCTTTTGACATTGTGAATAATGCTGCTATGAACATTCAATAGTAGTTTTGAATAATGCAAATACTTGTTTATGAGCTTGCCTTCGGATTTTAACAGAAAGAAACTACTGTCAAATATTAACACACTATAATTTAAAAAATGGCAAGAAAGACTTAAAAATATGCAACCTCTTGAACCAGCAATTCCACTTATAGGAACTTGTCTTAGAAAAATAGTCAAGAATCTGTGCAAGCGGGCCGGCCCGGTGGCGCAGCGGTTAAGTTCGCACGTTCCGCTTCTCGGCGGCCCGGGGTTCGCTGGTTCGGATCCCGGGTGCGGACATGGCACTGCTTGGCAGCCATGCTGTGGTAGGCGTCCCACGTATAAACTAGAGGAAGATGGGCACGGATGTTAGCTCAGAGCCAGGCTTCCTCAGCAAAAAGAGGAGGACTGGCAGTAGTTAGCTGAGGGCTAATCTTCCTCCAAAAAAAAAAAAAAAAAAGAATCTGTGCAAAGATTTAACTATAAAGACATTCATTATAGCACTTAAAATTTGGAAAAACTGTAACAAAACATAAGCCTAATAGAAGTTTAATTAAATACTCCAAAATGAGATTGGATACATCATTTAAAAAACACTGCAGTTTTTAGTGAGATGAAAAGACATTCCCTATAAATTATATGGTTAAAAAAAAGAAATAGATACAACAAGCTTCCATATACACACACACATAAACACACACACACAAAATATTAACTCTGAATGGTGGAATTACAGACTTTTTTCTTCCTGCTTTTCTGTATTTTCTAAAACTTTCCACAATGAACATGTGGAAATATATAGAATATATAAGGAAAAAAATTTTTCAAAAGAATAGTCAAACCACCAATAAGAAAATCCTTCCCTTCTCATGACAAACATGCATCACAAAGTTAAGCCTGTATACCTGTTTATTATACTATGTGCCTTACAAGGCACAATTTGTCATGTCAAACCAAAAAGAAACAGAAATATCAAATTTGAAAAACTAAAGAAAAACAACCCTGAACTAAAACAAACAAAATGGGGAGAAATACTCCAAACTGTTATACACATTCAACACAATTCCTATCAAAATCCCAGCTGCTTTCTTTACAGATATTAACAAGCTGATCCTAAAATTCATATAGAACTTCAAAGGGCTGAGAATAGCCAAAGCCAAAACAATCTTGAAAAAGTACAAAGTTGGAGGATTCACCCTTCCCAATTTTCAAATCTACTACAAAGCTTCAGTATTAAGACAATGTGGTACTGGCATAAGGATAGATGTATAGATAGGCAGAATAAAAGTAGAGTCCAGAAATAAACCCACATATTTATAATTGATAGATTTTCAACAAGGATGCCAAGACAATTCAATGGGGAAAGAGCAGCCTTTTCAACAAATGGTGCTGGGAAAACTGGATATCCACATGCAAAAGAATGAGGTCGGACACTCTAAGTAGGGTTTCCTGGAAAAAATGCCTGAAGTGAGTCTCAAAGAAAGAAAATTAGCTGATCCAAGCAAAGGGAAGATCACAAGCAAAGTCATGAAACAGCACAAAGTAAGTGTATGAGTGGTACCACGAACAGTTTACTTGCAGGCACATTAGAAGCAGGCAGATGAGGACAGAGAGGCAGATAGTCACCAAAGATTTCTATGTCATACAATGTAAAACAAGGAGACCAGTTAGAGAGCTACTGCAATAAACCATGAAATAGATGCTGAGGTTTGAATGAGAATAGTGGCAAGAGAGATAGATTCAAGATACATTAAAGAAGTACTAAATGCAAGATTTACTGCCTGAATATGTCTGTAAGGGAAAAGGAAGAGTCTATGATAACTTCCAGAAATTTGCCTATCAGATAACACTACTAGGACATAGCTGTACTAACACCAGAGGTAAGAACTAAAACAAGAACTCATGAAGTGCTCTATAAGGTTACACTGCCAAATCAATATACTTCAAAAGTCACTTAATAATATTAGTATTGCCTGCAAGTAAGAAAAGGCAACCAACAATGCCTCACTTAAGTGGAGGATTTTTCTTTAACTTTTTATTTTAACATAATTTTGGACTTGGGAAAAAACCTGCAAGGATATACAAAGAATCCAGTATATGGTGCACTCACATTCCCCAAATGTTAACATTTTAGGTGAGATATTCTTAAGAAAGAATAATATTATTCATTTCACTTGACTGAAGGTCACTTTGAAGGTCACTTGAAGAAACCTGAAGAGCAGAGATCCATAAGACAAAAGGACTTCTAAGCAGACACAAATAGGTAAAATCAGAGAATTAGTGCAGAACCTCCTTTAAAAAATGAAATCTTACTCAGAACCCTAAAATGAAAACAGAAGGGCAAGTAGTACTGCTCTGGTATAATAATTCTAACATGTTTGGTCACCTAGTTTCCCAAACTACAAGATAAGAAGCAACAAATAGGAGAGATGGAGAAAGGAGTGTTCCCTCAGTCTTTTAAAAACCAACCGTAAGACAAAAAATGTCACTAAAGACAAAGAGGGACATTTTATAAGAAAAGATTCATTAGGACAATATAACAATTATAAACATATACATATCTAACAACAGAGCCCCAAAATACATTAAACAAAAACTGAAGAGAAAGAAACAATTCAATAACAACAGTAGAAAACAACTAAACAGAAAACCAGCAAGAATCTAGAAAACTGGGCCATACTATCCACCAACTTGACCTAACTGCCATCTATAGAACACACCACCCAACAAGAGCAAAATATACACTCTTTTCAAGCACACATAGAAAAATCTCCAGAACAGATCATATACCATGCAATAAAATAAATATCAATAAATTTAAAAGGATTGATATCAAACAATACCTCCTACCACAAAAGAATTACATTGGAAATGAACAATAAGGACAGATATATAGATCATTGAAATAGAATTGAGAGTCTAGAAGTAAACTTTACCATTTATTGTCAATTGATTTTCAACAAAGAGCCCAAGACTATTCAATGGGGAAAAACAGTCTTTCAACAAAAGGTTCTTGGACAACTGGATATGCACATACAAAAGAATGAAGTTGGACCTCTACCTCACACCATATGAGAAATGAATTCAAAGCGGATCATAGACCTAAATGTAAGAGCTAACAATATAAAACTCTTGGAAGAGAACACTTCAATAAACCTTAGTGACTCGGGTTTAAGCAATGATTTCCCAGATACAACAACAAAAATACAAGTGATAAAAGAGAAAATTGAGAAGTTGGACCTCAACAAAATTTAAAACTTTTGTGCTTAAGGATGCCATCAAGAAAGTGAAAAGCAAAAAGGCTGGAGAAAATATGTGCAAATCATCTATCTAATAAGGGACTAGTATTCAGGATATATAAAGAATTCTTACAATTCAATAATGAAAAGATAAACAATCCAATGGGCTAAAGATCTAAATAGACATTTCTCGAAAGAAGGTATAGAAATGACCAATAAACACATGAAAATATTTTCCATATTGTTACTCATTAGGAAAATGCAAATCAAAACCACAATGAAACACTACTTCATACCAATGAGGACGGCCACAATAAAAAAGACAGACAGTAATGGGGCCAGCCTGGTGGCACAGTGATTAAATTCGCATGTTCCACTTCGGTGGCTTGGGGTTTGCCAGTTCAGATACCAGGTGTGAAGATGGCACCACTTGGCAATCCATGCTGTGGCAGGCGTCCCACATATAAAGTAAAGGAAAATGGGCATGGATGTTAGCTCAGGGCCAGTCTTCCTCAGCAAAAAAGAGGAGGATTGGTGGCAGATATTAGCTCAGGGCTAATCTGCCTCAAAAAAAAGACAGTAACAAGTGTCGGTAAGGATGTGGAGAAAATGGACCCCTCATAACATTCCCTTGTAAAATGGCGCAGCTGGTTTGGAACATAGTCTGGCAGTTCCTCAACAA